CACGGGTGGTGTGTGCAAGGACCACATCAAGCCCATGATGCTGCTCCGGAATCGGAGGCTCTGCTGGGGAAAGGGGCAGCTCTGCAAGTGTTTCTGGGATTAAAAGTGGTAAAGTGTCTTTATAGTTCCTGCATTTAGTTGTATTAATGCAACATACAAAAAGTTTCTTTTGGGAAGTTCTTCCCAAGAGTTCTTACATTCCTCAGTGTAGTCATGGTGCTGTTGGGAACCGGATCCATGAGTGGGATGGTGGGTGACACAGAAGGTCTGAACACCACGCTGGAGAATGTCCACCCTCTCTGTGTCCCAAAGGAAGGAGGCATTTCTCACTCCTTTCCCTGGAATAACTCATGATGACCATGATTTGAGGCAAGGACTTAGACAGGACGGAGGGGGTTTGATTTTATAATTCTTGTCCTATGCCATTAACTCCTCAGTGCCCTAAGCTAACTTTTCCCTGGATACTTGGAATTGAATCTGGCTCACAGAGCCTGTCTCCACAGGCTTCCCTGGGAAGGAAAGCTGCCACTTGTCCCCAGATCACACAGTTGGGCTCATGGAGGATCGTGCAGAGGTGTGTTGGGATCACGGGCTGACTGGAGCTAGAGGGGCTTCATTACAAAATCACAGAATCACAGAATGGTTTGGGTTGGAAGGGACCTTAAAGCTCATCCCATCCCACCCCCTGCCATGGGCAGGGACACCTTCCACTAGTCCAGGTTGCTCCAACCTGGCCTTGGACACTCCCAGGGATGAGGCAGCCACAGCTTCTCTGGGCAACCTGTGCCAGGGTCTCCCCACCCTCATAGGGAACAATTCCTTCCCAATGTCCAATCTAAACCTAACCACCACTCTAGAAGCTTACAGTGCTTCCCTGAAAGCCAAACCCCGAAGTTTTCAGTGGAATATTTCCAACAGAAAATGCACAAGGGTGTGGGTAAGTTTGGGATACCTTTGGAAGAAGAATCCCAGCCCCACAGTTGACGAGGCAGTTGATGCTCCTTCCTTTATCCGAAGTTCATTGTGCTGTTAAACAACATCCTGCTCCTTCACAACTGGTGCAAGGAGCTCTTGTTTAAAAAAAACTCCAAACTCAGGGATGTGAGGAAGTGCTGGAGTTATCAGCACCTCCAGCCATCTTTGGTAGGACTCTGAAAGGCCCGGGGAGGGCATTATGCTGAGTGTTTATCAGGTGATGGATGATTAATAGGTCTTAGCACACAATGAATGTGTATCTCTCCTTCACATGCTAATCACATGGCATTTATAAATGTCAGCACCTTATCGTGGAGGCACACTCAGAATTCTGTGTGGCTTGAAAGGTATTTATTTTTTACCATTTTTAATGTGTGTATTATTAAGGTTGTGTCATTTGAAGCGTCCCTTGGGCAGCGATTTGGAAACACGGGGAGTTTTTATTTTGGTTTCTGAAGCAATGGAATTGTTGCATTTTCAGTCTAGTCTAAAAAAATTCGCTGCAGATAATAATGTTTATCTTGTGTTTCTTTAACTACTAAAACATGGCAGTGGGTGTCACCTTGGAATTTTAATAATGATAAAAAATAATTTATAATTATTGGACTGAGAAGCTTCAGGGTCTTCCCATTCTGCTTTTTTTTTTTAATGTTAAACTTCCTTGCTTCACAACCTAAGGCCTTAATTTAGAGTTATTAATTATAGTTTTACCGTTTGAGAATTGCATAATTTTCATTAAAAAAAAAATCCTGAATTTCATGAATTGGCCATAAAAATGTGCTTTATTATCAAATGTGAGTAGGGAGTGTGAGCCTCAAGGAATTTTTATAAAAGTTCGGGGAGAGTTTGAGTACAGAAAGTCCAATGAAAAACATGGAAAGATTCTGAACTGGGTTGCTACTTAAGCTGAGCTTTTTAAACTGTGAAAGACTTTTTTTCCCAGCTAAAAGGTTCCTTCCCATGCTCCTTGAGGCAGGTAGAACTGCTGTTGTCTTCCAGAGGCTTTATGGACCTGAAGAATTTGGAATTGAACTATAAAAATTAAGATTCCTTTAGAAATCTATGCCTTCAAAGCTGTATTTTGTGCCTGGACAGCGAAGTTGTTGAAGATACACCTGAGGGCTACTTGGTGACATCAAGTTTGTAGATTGAGATCTTTGGTTCTCAACCATTTTGTCAGTGATAAATATCCACATTTTCAAAATACTTCATTGAAATTGGCAATAACTGGCATATTTGGCCAAAGATTGGATCATTTTGGAGCAAACATGGTCTTGGCATACACTGAATGTGTTATCTCTGAAAAAAGCACTGTGTTATGCTGGAAAAACACAAAGGTTTTGCTTCAGTCTCTTCCCTACTCCCAAACAGGACATGAGTCTCCAAGGCCATTCATCCACCAGCTTTCCATAGCACTAAAGTCACTCCAACCTTGTATAATGGATTTATTCTCCTACAAATCACCACGTGTGTTGTCACGTGTCTGTGGGCTCCAAAATATTTACAGATCCCATCACAAATAATTCTCAAGCAGTTGCTGACTACTCTTTTCTCACTGCACCTCCTTAAAAATTATCCATTTCATGCATTACCCTAAAATGAAGCTCCTACAAAGTGAGGCTTTGGTGATGGTTAAAAAGGAAGTTTTCCCCAAAATTCCTTGTAAGCTGTATAGCTCCCTGTGTGACTGAGTTACAACAGCCCTGGACTTACACAACCTCTCAAAGGACTTTACAAATAGCCATCACCACGTAAAGATAGCCTTGGTATTTTAATTAAAGGTCAGACAAACCCACAGTGTAAACCTCGGGGATGGTTTGCAGCAGTCATTTAAAGCAGAGTTGCTTAACAAAGTCTTACTGCCTTAGTAAAACCGTGCCCAAACCTCGGCTGGGATTTACACAAGCTGCAGCCTGAGCAGAGGAGCCTCTGCCAAGTTCAGGTTGCGAGTTCAGCACCCATAAATCACAGCCCGGGTGTGCTTTACACCAGGTAGGAGGAGGCTGCTCTGCTTTACTCACTGCTCTGTATTGGCACACAGGGCACTCCTCACCTCTCTGCAACCCAGGGCAAGATTGGTGTCAGTTTTACCTCCTGCTTGGCCCTGCATCTCCACGTGCCAACCTTCACGGTGATTCAGAAGCAGTTTGTTTTCACCCAATTAACATCCCCGCGCTAAGGAGCGGAGCGATGCTCTGGCAGGAATCTCCCGGCTGTCAATCACAGCCCGGCTGCGCCGCAGCAGCTTCTGAAGGTCGCGCTGTAAGGCTTGATTCAAAGTGTCAGCTTTACTGTTACAACCGAGCTTAAAAACCCGCCAGGCAGTTTGCCTTGCCAGATTTATGAAGTATTTTAGACTATTTGTTCAAAGGAATGTGTCTGAATTTTAAACCGGAGGCTTTGATTGCTGACTCTTCTACCTTTGGCCTTATTTGTGGATTCGTGCGGGGAAAGGGGAAAAAAAAAAAAAAAAAGAAAAAAGCAGGTGACCTGGTTTGCTTGTTCATTCAGGGGTGAGTTATAAGGTGTGCAGGGGAGGTGGCACGACCAAAAGGCTTTTCAAGGAAGCCATCTGTCTGCTCACACCGCTGCCCTGCCTTCACCTTTCAGATCTGATTTGCTTTCGGTTGCCACCCAGTCGAGGTGGGTGATGTTTTTTTCCCTGGATGTTGCGTGCTCAGATGGGTTATGATGATGATGTATTCAATGCATGTTCCCTTTGAAAAATTCGGAAGCACTTCCAGCGTTGATTTCCCTCCAGAGTTATTACACCCCACGCAGATTGGCAGCGCCGTGCCACGGTGCCAGGATTGATGAGGTGACCTTGGAGACACAGGCACTCCCAAATTGAAAACACTTGGCACTCAACTTTGCTTTGGATTGCTGAGCAGGCTCCACTCCTGTATAAATCAGGAGGAGATTACACAAATAATACCCAACATTTATATAACATTTCATAGCACAAGGGGATTCTTTCACACACGGCTCGAGTGCAACACTCCTGCCTCCTCCAGACTTTGATTTGCAGTTGGGTCCAACCTTAAACCTTCAGTAGGACTCAGGAAAGGCAGCACTGGCCCCTCCTGCCCTCTCCATGAGCAGTGGACTCTCTTTAGGGCCTCCTTCCATCATGAAGGTTGGGCTTGATGGTCTTGGAGGTCTTACCCAACCATAATGATTCTATGGGATTTTAAGGGATCGGAGCATTTCTGTGGGATTTTAAGAGCTGAGCATTCCCAAGGCACCAGGGTAGTGGTACTTAGAGGCTGCTCAGGATTGGGCCAACTAAAGATTCTCCATTATTCCCAGCCCATGGAAATGCTCCACTGTGTTTTCACTGCTCCATGTGCTGCTGCCCAAGCCCTTGGACCCACAGAGCTGAGCCCTGCATGGGGCTGAGCTTGGGGTCTCCACCGGAGCAGCCACCCTCCTGTGCTGCCCAGGCTGCTTCCCAACCTTTTGGAGTCTTTTGGATCCTTTTGGAGCCTTTTGAATCCTTTTGGAGTGGGGAGCTGCACTAATAAAGAGGCTCTGATAGATGGCAATGAAACATCTGAGTGAAAGAATGTCGAGGTGAACCTGTAAAGCAGCAATAAACACGAATTCAACCTGCACTAACGTTAATTGTCACTCAGTTTATATCGATGTGCAGTTTATTAAACCATAAAGCAAGGCAGCAAGCACAGAGAGCAACTCTAGAGATAATTAAACATAATAAGGGTTTCACTTAATCCCTCAAATCCCAGGGGAGGCACAGTTAAGACTGAATACCCTCCTTGCACTGGAAGGCATTTTTATTTTTTTGTTGCACAGGCATTTAAGAGCATTTCCCGGGACAGGATTTCGGGACAGGGGCACAGGTAGGTCCCACCCTCACTCCTGAATACGTTTCTTCTTTTCTTTGTGCCTTTACACTGCGCTGCAGATTAAGCCTAAACTCACGACTCTGAAAGTTCGCGGCTCATCGTTTGCGTTGTGGTAGCAAGTAGAGACTCTGATGAGGGATCCTGCGGAAGGTTTGGGAGCATCCCTGGGCACAGGGGTGCCAAAAGGGCTCGGAAGTGGCAGAGCTGGTCCCCAGGGGTGCTCCGCTCTCCGGCTCCTCATCTCCCTGCACGAGACACTCAATTCTCGGACGAGGAGGATCAGGAAGGGAACGAAAGCAGAAGGTGGATGCAAAGGGCTGAGCGAGCAGGCGGGTGAGGAGAAAGGCTCCTTTGGAAGAGCGAGACAAATACGGCAAATTTGGGATTAAAACCGGAGGGCAAAAAAGCCGCGAGCGGTTATTTGGGACGCCAAGGTCTGCCGTCAGCGGGACCGGGACCGGGCGAGGATGCGGGAAACGCGGGGAGCGGGACGGGAACAGGCTCGGGGCTGCCGCGGAGGATCCCGCAGGTGCGGGAGGAGCAGCACCTGGGATGCAGGAGCGCGGAACGGGGCAGGGGAAAGGATGCTGCCCGCGGCTCGGGGACCGCGCCGGTGCCGCGCACACCCGGGGGGGGGGCACGGAGCGCTGCCCCGGGGCCCGGCGGGGCTCCGAAGGGGCAGCGAAGGGGCAGCGAAGGGGCAGCGAAGGGTTAAGCGCGGCCGCGCCGCCGCCGCTCCGCCGCCCGCCCCCCGCGCACGGCGGGGCCGGGGGTGGGGTCTGCGCGGAGCCCGCCCGGCCCCCGCCGCTGCCGCTCAATGCTGCGGCCGCGGGGCTGCGGGAGCTGCGGGAACACCGGGAGCACCGCGGGGCTGCGGGAACGCCGGGAGCGCCGGGAGCGCCGGGAGCATCGCGGGGCTGCGGGAGCCGCGCCGGGCAGGGCAGGGCAGGGCAGGGCAGGGCATGTCCCCCCCGCCCGCACAGGTGAGCGCGGCTCGGCACCGGGAGCGGGGAGGGGGGCTTGGAAAGGGGGGAAAAAATAGGAATAAATAAGGAAATTAGGAAAGGCTGCGGTTCGGGGGAAGGAGAGCGCGGCCGCGCTGCGGGAGCCGGCGGGGATGCGGGGCCGGAGGGACGCGGTGCCTGCCCCGCCGGGCTCCCCGCAGTGCCCCCGCGGCTCCCGACGGGCGGAGCTCTGTGCGGGGCTGTGTGCGGGGTCCGCAGAGTCGGCCCGGGCGGGGGTCGCTGCGTTGCCCCCGGGCACGGGGAGCGGCGGGACCGAGAGCATCCTTCCCTCCCTCCATCCCTCCCTCCCTGCACGCGCAGGGATGCTCCCGCCAGGCTGGCACAGACGCACGCAGAACTTTTTGCTGGCTAACGCGGCTGGAGTTGAAGCTCCTTTTGCCTTCCCCAGGCTGATGCTGCTCCCGTGTCGTGAGCAACATACTGCAGCGTGTTGTTTTATTTATCCCAGACAGGAATGACTTGCTCTCTAAACTACAAATTAAAGGATGCTGCTTGCATAACAAGTGGGAATAGTTGGTACCTTACATACTAATTATCCGTCACCTTTTAGGCTCAGCAAAAGAGGTTTTGTGGTTTTTTTGCAAGGAGGGTTCGATAAAGCCGCCTGATGTCTTGTAGCCACGTATTCATTTCCACTGGCTGGATTAATGTGGGCAAAGGATTAAGAGCCAGCATGTTGATGAGGCACCCGGAGGTGCAGGGAAGCAGGGGAACGTTGGGCTGGGGAGAGAAGTCAGTTTTTGTGTTTGTGCTGGCGCATCCTCCCGTTTCCATGGCTCAGTTCAGGACCTGCATCCCAGCCGATAAATCACTGAGGTGAGAGCAGGGATTGGTGTAAGGCTCCGGTTCTGACGCTCGTGCTGCTCCAAAGGTCCTTCCCGACACGGTGTCCAACACGGTGGGCAGAGCTGCCCTCCCACCCGCCGTGGGGCTGGAGGTGCTGTGACCCATCCCAGTGGCATCGTGGCTGTGGGAGCCCCTTCCCCAGTCCCTCTGGCTCCTGCAGCAGCTCCAGCCCGGCTGTGCAGGTGATGCTCCAGCCACACCGTGCCCGGTACCGATCGTGGGCAGCAGGGTGGGGAGGACTGCACCTGGGACCAGCCAGGTGGTCCCTCCAGAAGCCTTTTCTGCTGCTTCCCTGGCCAGGACGCTGGTTTTTATTCTTTTCTGGACCCGAGGAGCTGCATTTTTACCCCGCGTTTGTAAGTCCCTGAAAACTGCTTAAATGGCTCTCGAATAATCCTTCAAAGTCACCTCCCCTCTTTAATCTAATACCAAAAGGACTTAGTTTACATGGCTAATCCCTCTTTTACTTGCTGTACAGCCTCATTTAGAGGTGTGCACACTGCTAATTTTTCCCAAAGCAGGCTGCTCTAGACAATGGCTTCCACTGGTGTGCAGCAACCTCTCCCTCCTGTGCTGAACTCTGGGCAGAGCTGAATCCCTCTCACAAGATTTTACTTCATTTCAGGAAGGGTCAAGTGAACGAACCCTTCTCAGGAAGCCACACCAGACACTGTTCAGTGTGTATTTGTAAATACCACCCCTCTTGGGAGGCTCCCAGGGTCTCCTGCCCCACGTGCCCATAGCCTGGAGGCAGCACTTGTGTGGTGAGGGCTGCAGGGAGCCAGGGTGTGCCTGCAGGTAGCTGGAGTTGAATGATCCTGGCTAAACTCTGGTGAGCTGGAAGTTCTCCCATCCATACCTTCTGCAGTGAGTTGAGCTCTCTGTAGCCCATCCAGCGTTCCCAGAATTTTCAGCCTGTGCTGTTGTGCGCGGTGACAGGAGGTGTGTTGGGAATGTGAATGACAGCGGGAGAGCAGCTCACCTTTGCGAGCAGCCTCGTGGCAAACATGATGGGATGATGCAACCCTTCAAACCCTGACTTTCCATGGGGTAACAGTGGTGTCTGGAGCTCCTCAGCCTCTCACCTGAGCTCACCAGGGGTGTCCAAGGAGGGCAAGTGTGTCTTCGGTGTGGTGGGAGGAGGTGAGTGGTGACGTGTCCTGTTCCCTGAGCCACAGGACACCTTTGGCTGTGGTGTGGCACAAGCCCTCTGGAGTGGGTGGTCTCTGAGACCACAGCCACCCTTCCCTGGGGTGACCTGAGTTGTATTTCCAGTGTTAATCCCTCCAGGGTTTGACTCCTGCGTGCTGATTTTCAGCCCTTGGCTGAGGAGCGTTTGTTGGAGAGGGAGGAACAGCAGCACTGGCAGACACCAAACAACTGGTGAGAGAACCCTCCTTGGTTCTCAAACTTGCACTTCCTCATGTAGGAAAAGTGATTCTTGTTGCTATCCAAGTCTTTTTTTATTTGGATTACCATTTCTTTGATTTCAAATTCACTCCTGTGTTACCCCATCAGGGACATCCAGAAAGCAGGGCTGAGCTCATGAAAAATTTCTACCACAGATGCAAAACTTTCAGAATAATGTTGTAGCTATTCTGGTGCCATGTGATTTATTTCCCTTGGGTTAAGGAGTTGGCTTTGTCTGACAGTTCTGTGCAGTTAACTGAATTTAAAACAATATTTAAAAATCAGAGGTAAAGACAGGGCAGAGTGAAGGAAGGATATTAACCATGAGATAACTAAATTGCCTTTTTATTTGCTCTCATGGTCTTTCTGAGTTATATTTGCTGGGACATGATGGAGGTGGCTGGTCCCCATCAGGGGCAGGGGTGGGCACAGCCCTGGTGCTGTGCAGGCCCTGCCAGGGAAGATGCTACTCCTTAAAAATACTCTGCTAGGTTGGAAAGTCCATAAATCATCCCAGGTCTATTTTTAGGTCTGTTAGATTAGAGCAAGTGTGGGGTTTCTTCCCACTGTGGCCTGAAATGACCCCATAACACCCCTGTAACAGCAGTTCACAGACTCCCTCTGATGCTGCTGCTGCCCTGGTGTTCAGCCCCGTGGTTACACAGAGGATGAGCCTCCCTTTGAAGAGGATTTGGTGCAACAGTTGGGAATTTTCCTTCCCATGCAGCAATTGGGAGTCTGCAGCTTGGTGTGTGAGTGATGTGCAGCCCCTGACAGGAAGGTAATCACAAACACAGCAAAGTGCCATGAATCACCCCAAACCCACAAATGTCAGCTCCCAGGCTCTCCCAGGCGTGCTGCCAAGATTTAAACTTGCACACATCTTCCCTGTTATCTGCTGCAGTGGTTACTCAGGTATAAATAGGAATATCAGGACAGTAGTGATTCATTCTTTTTATTATTAGCAAGGCAAATGTATGATGATGACACCCAACTGATTTAGTGTTTCACACCAGTGCACAGCTATTCCCTGTCTCCTCCCATCATCCACCAAAACTGGGGATGTTAAAACAGAAGCTCTTGTGTCAAATCTGCTTGTAATCTAAATACAAATGAGGTTCACATTCATTATGAACCAAGAGAGGAGTATTTTATACACTGAACAGGGTGTTGTATTTGGGAAATAACTTCATTCTTTGCCATTCCCTAGATACAATCATTTTATCTTAATCTTCAGGATAAAAAAATCTGCTTCAACGTGACACCAAGAAAGAGAAAGATTTGTTGGGGTGTTTTTAATTGCTGGGTTAAATCAATGAAAATCAAGCCCTCAGAACAACAAGGTCAAAGTATTTGGAAAACAATCCAGTGAGTGTCACGTGCAGAATTCAGCTTTAGGAAGGCAGAGCACAAGGAGCAGGTTTTGCCTCCTTCCTGCAAAGGAAATTGGGATTTTTGCTTAGGTACAAAATTACAGCATAGATGTACCAGCACGTGGCCTCCAGTGAGGGAAGTGATACACTCACTGCATTATTCCACAAAAATGTTTTCGGGACCCAAAAAAAGAATCTACAACCATTTCATTTTTAAAATTACAGGAATTATTTTTTTTTAAATTGACTTCAAGAACTCAAGGTTTCAAAAATGAGGTTCTACCACATTTTCTTCTTCTATTAATTCTTCCCTAAGCTCCCAGCTGATCAGCAGTTGATCCTCTATCACTTGAAGGTTTTGCTGGAGGTGTCTCAGATGTGGCCAAACATTTTTTAATGAATAGAAATTTGGATATATCCAGTCCCAAGCTCTCCTGAGATATATTTGCTACACATTAGAAGGGCCAGGATGGTACTTCAGCACCTTTCCTCCTCTTTGGTTTTCCAGTGGTTTCAGTGAGACTCAGTGGACACAACTGTTATTAACCCCCACATCTGGGCTTTCCCCATCTGTGTTTGCTGAGCCAAGATATGGTTGAAAGACCCAACTTTTAGGCTTGGCTTCCCCCAGATTTTCAGGAGACAAGTTAAACCTGAGCTGATTTTAACTCCAGAACTA